ATGTACGCACACATACATTTTGATACTTCCAACCATTTGCATGGATCAAATTCAAGCGATCTGCACTACAAAAAAATTGACCTCCACGCAAACACCATGAAATTCAACATTTTGGCTGTAGAAATTGTCAACCAGCAGCTTACAACCTTGATTTTAGTTCGCCATATAGACATTATTTGTTTCCAGCAGAATAACACATCTGTGTACCTACTACAGCTTATGCATGGACTTTGAAAATTCAAAATGGTCATTTACAGAGTGTCCCAAAGAATGTGCACACTGTTTATTCGTTAACAACTCGCTTGCTTCGAGGTCCATTGTCGGTTTGGGTACCACTCCGTAAAGCGAAGTTCAACTTAGATTTATAGTATGAAGCAAAACTCCGATCTCTTTTCGCTACTGTATGATTACGGTATCAACTTTCAGCACACAACGCCAGTGTTAAATAGGCCGTTCAATAGGAGAAGTTGCGAAAAACTCTGAAAATTTGTATAGCAGGGTTTTTAAGCATGCTCATTTCATTATGCACCTTTTAAGGAAAATTCTGAGCCTTTTCAGAGCTATAATCACATTTTCAAAGAACATTGGAAAAGCAGTTGTTACTGTTTTTCTGAAATAACTCATGAAGGAAGCATGACCGTAATGTGCAAATTGCATATCTGTAATCAGCGACTTTAATTATAGTATCAAAGTTCCCGGCTTGTTTGGTTCCTTCTCCGGGACGAAATGCGACTTTTATCGCTTAGAATCTCTTCAAAATTCTTATCGTAATCCTACAGTAATGAAGGGAGATCGAAGTTTTGCTCCATAGTGCAAATCTAAGTTGAACCTCGCTCTACAGAATGGTACCTAAAGATCGGCGAAAGACTTCGAAGCAAGCGAGTTATCAACAACATTGTACACATTTTTTGGGACACTCTGTATAAGGTCATAACTGTCTTTTGGAAAATTCTTAGTAATGAATATGTAACGAAGGTCTGAAACTACCCACTCGCAAAAAAACCTGGCTAAATAACAGTTACTTGACTTATTATAGCTTCAATATTACATGTCAAAAAAATTATTTGTTAGCCAACCTATTCGGAATGCACTCGTAAGGCTGATCGACCCTTTTTCTTGTATTACGCATCAATCAGTGGTTACCAAGATTTCCGTTCCGGGGGAGGGGGGGGGGGGGAGGGGAAGACAAAAACAAACGTGCGTGGCGTTAAGTACGCGTTCTGAAAATTCTGTTGATGCTTGTCAAGATTTGCGGGTCCATGGTCCCGAAGTATTAGGAAAAGACGGCGTGGAGGCAGCCCACTTTTTGCGAGGATTATTTGGATTTTTGAAAAATTCCAAAGATTATTTTGATGATTTACAAATGCGAACAAGTCAATTCCATAATCTTATAGTTCATTGTAACTTTCAAAAATCGCTAGGCCACTGACATTAACTCATCTTTGTGCGAAAGTACTTATGCTACAAGAAAGAAAAAGCTTAAGTTTGACCCAAAAGATAAAAACGATTCTAACTGTCGTTATGAGTTGCCGCAATAATCAAATTTCAATATTCAGCATGCAGGTTTGTGATAAGTTCTGGTGCACTTTTTGTTTTGATTCTGGCCATATTTTGCAGAACATTTAACAAATCTGAATGTGTTCGAAAATTTTGAGTTCGCTCTACACAAAATGTTTACACTACTTTCAATTTGATCAAAAATGAGGTTTTCGGTTTTGAAATGAAAATTTTCGAGTAGGCTAGAATTCCCTCCAGTTGTTTAAAAGGTTGATGGTAAACAAAGCAATAAAAATCATTTTTGCAACTACCCTCACTATCTATGCTTGCACTCTTCCTTTCACAAGCTGTTTGATTATTTTAAAGTTAGCGGACTTTGTCGTGGCGAATTGTTCATCACAAATTGTGTGTCTCCCCCTCTGAATCTTCGAGTGACTTGCCCATAAATTTGATGATTATTTAATCACAGACAATTTTTGTGCTAATTTCTGATTTCTTCAAATATCCCAATGTAATGAATTTGGCTTACTATATCTAACTTTCATCAAAGCTCTTTTAAAGTCTGGAATGGAAAAAAATTGTTACATTTAGACATGGTAGAAAGGGTTGGAAGTTGTTACGACTATTCGAACAACATCAAAGCTCTTAAAATAAAAACCTAGACCTTATAAGAAAAGGAGGAAACTTTGCGTACTGTAGAGAGTTTATGTAATTTGACTGAGCTGAGGGTAGGTCTGAAAACTGCACGAACTTTGGACCAACCTAGTAATTCCATTATTCGCAAACAAAAAACAGTTCACTTGCATATTCTTCTAATCTCCTGAAATGAGTTAAAAAACCCATTTGGGACCAATTCACCGAAAAAAGGAAACCTTACCCATTTTTTGACGGAATTATATTGTGCATACAAAATAGAGCGAAATAAGCAATTCTTCTGCGCATAATATCAAGTGATTTCCCTGCCGTGATAGTCTGTTTGATTAACCCATTGACGACGACGCCTAATTTTGCGTGGCGGGACTGTGGAATGACGCGATTTCGACAACACTTGCTGTGTTGGAAGGTTTTGTGATTATTTACGAAATGCAAGGTTGTTTAGTAAAGAATTAGAGACGTTCTCTTGAACGACGAGTCCACAGACCCAAAAGTGCAAAAAATGGAACAAATAATTGGTATGTGGAAAAAATACTAGACCTACAAATAATATGAATTTGCAAGATGTATGGGCCACCGGTGGTCCACATCGCTGTCAATGGATTAAACACCAAATAAACAGTTCCAGAAAGTTCGATATTTGCATGCTCTTAGGCACACGCTCAAACTCTAATCGCACGCTCTCTACTTCTTCTAGCAGTACTTTCTTCCATGTACTTTTTATCGATAAACGAGCAGCTTGAGGTGTAGCTAGCATTAGAGGAGGTTACAGAAGATTAGCATTAAGACTAATACACGAATGCGCTTGATTGTTTTCCATTGTAGGTAAAGTTAATTGCAAGCCAATGATATTTAGCAGCTTTCAATCCGTTACTTATATAAGGCAGTCCAAAAATCATTTTGTCAAAAAAAAATCAGCAATTTCTCTTGACGCTTTTCGCTTTCATCATCAAAGTCTACATCAAAATCAGTCTCTTGCTGCTCCCATTCAATAGTCTGATTCTTGAATGGTTCATTTATCACATTTACTTCGTTATTTCGCATTATCAAGGGTAATCAACTCATTATTCACCCCTCATCCCCTCGCTGTCAAGCGGAGCGCTGCCTATCTTGCAGCACCTTCTATCTCTTACCCCCTTCTCCTCTCTTCTGCCTCCCCCCCTGCACACTTCGATTAGAATTTGTAAGGTATTGGTATTGTGCACCTGCATCTCGAAAGCGTTGCTGCGTTGCTACACTGGCTCCTTTGAGAAAACTCCATTCAACAGTTTTTTCATCGCATATTGACTCTTTTAGTGTGCGCGCTCCAATGCCAGCTCGATTTAGTTCGGAAATGCTTTATGCCACATCTATTGTTTTTCTAGAGTCTTGCGTATAGTAGTCAAGCTACTGAATTCGATTATATCCTCGTATCTCATGCTTCTTGTAATGATTCAATGGATAATTTGATTTTTCAACCCTCAAAACAATCATGTGAAATAAATTTGTTTATATCCTCTTCATCTTTGTTCATGTCGTCGCCAAGCTCTCGGAAATATTCATTATCCGTAATCATCTATGCTATACAGAAAAATTACCAATGAAACACCGTCGCAAATCCTCAAGTCATCTGTAGCCTAATATGTGTGCCTGCACACTCCGCGCGGCAACTGACGACATCCTTACTAGTGATCCTCTAGTAAAACATTTTCGAGCCTGACAAACTATAGCAATGTTTATTCTGACTGATAGATTTTCAATCAAATTAAAAGATAAAAAAATAAGGAGAAATCACCGGAAATGAGCAGGTTATAATTTGACAAGCCGTCAAGTCGCGTGCATGGTGTGCAATAAGCATATTAAGTTATATACGGCTCGAGGATACGCATACCTACAAATAGAAATGCCTCTATTGATGCGTAAATCAAAGAAGTGGAATAAATAATAGTTTGACATGCAAGTACTGCTGCACTATCAATCAACCGTTGGATACTTAGCGACTATATTTTAATTTTTAATTTTTTTCTTTGAAAGAGCGCTTGCCTTAGCGTTTTGACTGAAGTTGAGAACTGGAAGATTCTACAAACATTCCGCATCAGGCTTACGGCTTTCCAGATAACTTGCAATTACACTCAAAACCGCAGAATCTATAGTCCCTTCCTGAAGGTTCTATAATACAATTCAAATTTTTCGGAAGCTACCTGTAGAGATTAGGTTTTTTTCTCTAACAATTCTGCCCAAGCTCAATAAAACGAGTAATTTGATGTAATTAGACTACGAGATTTTGGCAAAAACACTCAAACAGTAATTGCTACTTACGTACGTAGTTGCTAACAAAGGCTCAAAGGTTCCGTATTACTTCTCTATCCGCTTACTTAACATTTGCACTCATGTACCCCCCCCCCTGTTGGTTATCATAAATGGGCAGGTGTACTCAAATCTATGTTTAGCACTCAACCTATCACAAGTATCAAATTTCGGCCCTTGTAGGTCAATAACATACTCCCATCCAGCCTCAGCTTATGAGTCCGTATGATTAGGAGCAGCTCGACCTTGAAAACGCAGACTATTATCATTTAGTGAACGCCGCTAAAAAAAGTCTAGTAAAAAGTTTGAATTTTTGATTTTAAATGTGGTAAAAGCTGTGGGTAACAATTTGTCCTCCACTTCAAAGCTTTTGTGTTTTCCTCGAACTGCGAACAATCTGAAAATTGCATATAATTTGGAGTGCCATGAAAAACTTTGGTCAAAGTCGACAGCAGTTAAACCTTTACAGCCTCCAGCACCACTGCTTTTCTAAAATTCATAGACTTTTTCATTCATTAATATCTCTTGTTTGCAGGCCAGTGACAGTGTTATCCACACTTGATATGCTCATCGTAGACACTTCAATTCGTGAGTTTGCTATGGATTTCTTTTTACAAGCATTACATATATATGTATAATATGCATATGTCACACTGCAACAATCATTTCTTACTGACTTTCAAGTATTTCCTGTAAGCGAGGTAAGCTAGCAAATGAAAATAGTAACTTTCAATCAATGAAAAAAACATTTTAAAACTTTCTTAGCATAAAATTTTCGTTTTTGGAAACAAGCGTTTGCCTCTTGCAGGATTTTTTCCATCAAAAATATTCGCTTGTCTAAGCACATGTTTGATGTGCATGCAACAGCACAAAATCACATAAAACTTGCCTTTTTTGAAAGTTATGGCGCGATTATGCGAAATAAAATTGATCGTAGATATAGCTGCAATAATGCGCATTTTATTTCTCATTCGAAAACTATGGTGATTTTGCAGGTGTGAACCGGAAGGGGTTCCTAAAAAAGGGGCTCATGTCTGTAAAGCGCTGTACATTTGCAGTTTTCATATTTTATTTTCAAAAAGAAGAAATGGGATTTTACTGGAAATTTCCAAAGTGAAAGACCATGCTGATCTTTCGCTTTTCGGAGGGGGAGGGGCTCGGTTACGAAACTTATTTTTGGATACAAAACAGTGAATGAGAAGAAGAGAAATAACCTTTGATTCAAAAGGCATGGCGACTGAAAGGCGGGACTTTGTGACCTAATTAAGGCCGCTCGCGCCCGCGATGCAGTTTGCGTCTCTCCTGCGCTCGTGCTCACTGACCATTACCTAGCCTTGATTAGGTCACGAAGCCCCGCTTCCCAGCTGCCAAGAAAGTTGAACCAAGGGGTATGTATGTGTAACATATACCACGCTGTTTATGTTTATTTCTGTAAATAATCGAATACTTTAACTTTGCTGCTGATAACTTTTTAAAGTATCGTTTGTACATGTTGATTCCCTGAACTTTTCCTTTAATTCAAATAATAGTTTCATGATTTATAGCTCATGCTCAACTACCACGACGTCGTGCACGCAGTGAACCCGTTCGTCGTAATGAATGCTCAAGTTTTGTACGGTTTCGTAGTCTACGTGAAGCAAAAGCTGTACGTAGAGATAGCAAAAAACCTCTACGGGTTGATGTCGGTAAGTTGGTTTGGCAAACATTATTTGGACTCGATTATCTATTAAATAAAATGCCTTTCGTAATCATTTGATTTTTTTTAGTTGTTGAAAGCTCATTTTACTTTTGGGGAGTGAGAGCACTGCTTTCATTCAAACTAATCCAGGATATGCTCTAACTCTGACGTTTTCAGTTTCGATAGCCTCATCAGCAGAATCGAAATTAAGACGACGAAAAAAGAGACGAGAAAGAGCACAAAGGCGTCGCGAAGCTCAGGTTGGCTTCTATAACATTTTCAGCGCTTTGATATCTTCGTTTCTTGACGTAATACGCGACAAAACCTCTTGATTTTTATGTCTCCAATTTTTTGGGTGCATCTATCAGTCAATCGCTCTTATTTGGCAGCATCAGACTCCATTCAGCCAACATCCACAATATACAGCATCATATTTGATCAATACCAAAATTTATCAAAATTGTTTGATACGCTGGCATCTATATAATGTTTTCTCAAACAGCGCTTGTAGCAGGGTGACAGGCGATGGATAATCGCGCATGTGTTCATAAATTCTCGAAAGAGTATAGCTTCCGTCATTTAAGAATGCTAAGCAATCTAGAGATGCAAAAAATAAAAACTCATTTCAGACAAAGGAATACATTCGAGTTTCGCAGGTGCTAGAAGTTTATTTTCCTATACCTTGTGATTTTTCTAAAAATTTTACTTTCTTCATGTTCGAGCTAACCCGCAACGTATCATTACTACTATTTCAATTTCCTTTCTTTCATGTAAACTGAGAATCATGGAGTTGTTGAACCCCTTTCGCAATATTCTATCAAACAACGAAATCTATTGCAGAATAGATATTACACTTGCTTGCATTTGTAGTACCACAAACTGATATTGGGCAATTTTTGATTGATAACGTCATGCTCGCGAGCCATCATTTGTATTTACGTCATGAATCGAGAACATGAAATCGTTAGCACCAGCACTTACAACGTCGTCATATCACGCCAAAAAAGTCACCGAACTCCATTAGTTTTCTCCGAAATCCGCGTCGCATCATAGTCAGGAGTGATTCGGAATCCAAGGGCTTTGTTCGATTCAGCTCGGCGAGATGCATCTTCCAGTGTATATGGAACTGCTCGTTTCTATACGCTGGCCGGTTGGATGTCAAAGGCTCTGCATACGGTAGGTCAGAGTGTGCAAAAATATACACATCGAGTAGCCTACCGTAAGTAAAGATCTTTTGGAAATTTGTGAAATCTGACCGCAACCGTATATAAACAAGCTCCACAATATATCAGAAGATGCATCCCATTGAGCTGAGTTGAATGGTGCCCTTGGATTCACAATTCATCTACTCGAAGCCAAGGTATGGAAATGCGACGCGAATTTCGGTGAAATCCACTGAAGTTAGGTGACTTTTTTGACGAATTATGAGCGGTGTTGTATATCCGTATCACACAGCGTCAAAACAGTGGACTCAGATATCCTAATTTTTCTTGCATGGCAATTAGCAGCCACCCTAATTAATGCAGGTCATTATGTATTCAATTGGTGCCACACATGCCATCTGGCTACGTCACTTACGCTGCTTCAGTCTGCCTACAGCGCTTGTTTCGCATCTTCTTTGCTTTGATTCCTCGGTCAAATATAGCATTTCTCATGATTATTTGATCTCTTGAGGATTGTAGGGATTGATAAACGCACAATCCTCTATTAGGTCATTTTTTCAATAATAATATTTTCGGGTGAAGTCCTGGGCGACCAAATACCTTCTGCTGCTTCTTCTCTGAATCAAGCCCGCCCTAAGTGCACGTCATAAAAATCGAAAATGTAGTCTGATTAACTTCATAATCAAGCCCATTCAAAATTCTGTGAATATGCAATCATTTATCATTCAAGACGTTATGGAATTCAGGGCCAAATACCTGCAAATTAATGCTGCAAGAACAGATTTTCAGGGGGGAGAGGAATTGGGAAAAATTGTAGATGTGGGGAAAGGTGTGACAAAGGAAAGAGACCAGGAATTGAGGAAGCTGGCTAGGGAGAATCCGGGCTGATTTTATAAGTTATGGTTTCAAAATTCTTGCGGAATGTGGACTTCACAGGGCTTTTTGCAAATTTAATCCAAATTTTTATTTATTGAACTGTTTTGCAGAACTCATTTTATTTCAAAGGCAGTGTCAGGCTGAATCTAACCACTCCGATTAGTGTCGATCCTGAATGTAGGCCCCACGAGAGGGGCATCGGCGTTGAATCGATCCTCTATTGTTGTCTTTAAATGGAGATAAGGGGCCTGCAACAGCCAAAGTGCTATCAGACCCCGCCCAGATCCCACCAGACTCCGCCCACCCATGTACTGAAAGCCCTCCGCGCTCTCAAGACAGGGTTCCCAGGAATCGCGTTTTTTTTTGGGGGGGGGGACTATTTGAGGACTATTTGAACTTCGTAACTGTAGTCAGGGCCACGGAAAGGCCCCGGAATAGCAAAAATGGGAGACAAAATTTTAAGTGGACGCTGCCTTTGACTCGTACTGTGGTCCTCTGAATTCTTAAAATTCACTGCAGTGTTGTTCCAAGATTTGTTAAGAACCCTTATAGATTTTTGAGACTCTTAATATTTAAACGTTTTTTAAACAAATTTTTGGAGGAAATCTAGCTACGCTTTTGCACATAGAATATTTGAATGCCATCAATATTCAAGCCCAGAATTTATGGTGCTAGTCACGGAAGCGTAACGGGAAGTAATGTGACAGGTGGTCGTTTTTCTCCGCGAATTATAGCGACCGTTCAAACATATAACACATAAAAATTCCACAATTTCATCCATGTGTGGACGTCCTTCCGCTTTTTGCATTTCCGTCATCGAACTATCACATTTTGCAGCCGATTAAAGGCGCCAATGACCTCGATTGCTTTCTTTAGCGATGACGTGACCTTTCAATGTGAAACCATTTCGCTTTCTCTTTTCTTTACCTCAAATAGAAGCAAAAGAGTTGCAGCGGTGAGTTCTATGGTCGTACTTGGCTGTCTTGCAGAAGTTTTCATATCGCTGGCTGAAAATGATAAGGAGTTCCCTTTTTCTTTTTGATTGCATTTTTGCAGAGTCAGACAGTCATGCACTATTTCAGAGAATATGCTTTCGTAAGTCAAGAAGTGAAACAAATAATTTTCGAGTATTTCTGGCATTAATGTAAATGTGAAATCTTCTTGCAATAACTGTGAAATTATTTGTGGATCCCCAGACATCCACACACTTCTGCTTGCAGTGCTTTGGTTTTTTTAAAATTTTTTCTTTACTTTTCTTTTCCCTTAACAATTTGTATGAAATTAAATTACATATTAAAACTGTAGATACGTGTGAATTCGCAACAAACACTTTTTGTCTTTAGATCGTAAGTTCCAACTTAGATTAATTCCACTACTTTTATTAATTTAATATATTATAATAAACATATAGAGTCGTGTATGACACACAATATCCAAGAATTTCTTCTTACTCAAAGGCACCGTCCATCCAAATTCTCGATTTCCATGTTTTTGTCGCTTCCGAGCCTTCTGAAGGCCCTGGTTTCAAATATGAAATCGAGAATCCTAAAAACCCCTATTTTGGGAAAGCGGGACGGGTGGAAATGCAGTTTGCAGGGCTGCTGCGCGGTTATCGCCCAGCGTATATCAGCGCCGCAGCCCCCAAACCTGCAAAATGCTCGGGGTGACCAGCTCTGGATCACGTATCGCGTACCTTCCAGAGCGGATTTCTCGCTCCGGAAGCAATCTTTTGAGGGGAAACTGGTTGGCCTAGTGGGGGCCCACATTAGTATGCCATTGAATCTCGTGAACCCTCACTTCGGGTGGACGGTGTCTTTAAACAATTTCCTAAAGTCTTACTTTTCAAAAAGCTCATGTATATACATTTTACTCCTAAGCAACTTTTCAGCATTAAGAATAAGTTTTACAGACCTTCCTCCATCACTGAGAAGTTCAACGGGGTCTGTAAATCTTTTCTCCCTCTAAGGGCAGGAACGAAACGAAGCCTTTTGGTTATTTGCACATTATAAATTGAAAAACTTTTCTTCTTGTTATTGAGTAATTCAAATTTTTCTTCTTCGCATAGCCAGACCGGAGATACTTCAATCGCTGTTATCCTGAATGCGAAAGAGTCTGGTCATTTCTACTTGAATGACAATATGAACAATGAACATTGGTGTCGTATTTGCATAGATTACCAGTTTTTCTGATATGAAACGATTCTTATCAAATGATGCGTATCGATCAAATGCCACATAGTTATGTACATACATAACGCCCACATATGAAATGGAAATGAGCATCATAGTTTCACTACAAGTGAAGAATTCTATTCCACTTCTAAATAAAACAGGTTATATTAAGACTTATCTCAATGCTTATATAGACTGAATTCCTCATCGACGCAAGAATCTATCTTCTTTGGACGATATGTTATTTACATTGTATAATTCTTATTTTGCATTTATGTTTGCTGGCGCATATACAGGTATCGCAAAAGTCTTTGAGCTTGATTTTTCAAGGTATTAATTTTTTGATATTCATCGGTTTTTTTTCTCAAAGCTTGCAAATGGGTACTTCGTTCAGGTAGCCTGTAATACTCCAAAAATTATAGATTCCCTAAATTTAATTTACTAAAAAAAACTACTGAGAAAACCTCTAAAAATTGCATTTACATTCTCAAGAAATTGTTCTTCAGATCAGATACTACGATGTTGATGTCAAGTCAGCGAAATGTACTGTTCAAACATATATAACCCTTGATTCAAGTGGCTTGGCGGCTGGAAGGGGGCTCTGTGACCTAATTAAGGCCGCTCGCGCCCGCAGCGCAGTCTGCATCTCTGTCGCGCGCGTGCTCTTTGATCACTACCTAGCTGTCATTAGTTCACGAAACCCCACCTTCCAGCTGCAAAGCCACTTGAATCAGAGGGTAGCTTTTTTGACTTTTGGGTTTTTGCAAAACTCCAAACTGCAAATTGTAGAGCTACCTTCGCTTTACATTAGCAGTACAAACCAATCACTAGTCTCAATTCATTAGTGTTTAGATGCAAATTCTCAAAGTAGTGCAGCGCCAGCGAGTAGAAAACGTTTTCGAAAACGAGAACCCGAAGAAGCTGAAATCTCCAACATTAATTCAGTCGGAATCAGTAGTTCTAGCTGTAAGCCTTGCATTTTTTCTCCGAAATATTATTTTAAAGTCACTCCGGGTACACCACAATTGCTGTTTTCTTGATGTTCTCAAA